ATATGAGAAATTAATATTACAGTGTTTTTATATGACGATTTTAAGAAATGCCTGTGACTATTTATGTAATTCAACTAATTAACAGTCAATAATTGCTAATTGCTTACCGTATAATCAATAAGGAGTTTAGCACATTATAAATCATTTTAAATCACTCAAAAAAAGCTAATTTTTTTTAAATAAAAATTTTAACACTGTTTTGATGCTAGTTCTCATGGAAATTTTTTATTAATTTAAAGAGTCAATAGGAAGTTTTTCATTTTTTTTTTTTATTGTAAGCATGACTTGGGACAAAATTGTATTTAACTTGTATAGTATAACACACTATACTTTGTACATTGTATAATCGTTAAAAATAGATGATGAAAAAGAGCCTTATAATTAATTAAAACTATCTGCCTTAAGTATAATGATAAATAGATAATTTATCTAAAGAATTTAATTGTACTTCAATAACTGATTGATAAGTTGTTTACATATTTAGGCCAGGTATGAGTCACATACATTTATGAAAAATCATCATTAGAAGTGTTGTTAATTAATTAATAAACTGACGTATGTGGTTAGATTATATTCAGTATTCAATATGGATGTGGAAAAGATTGTGGATAGCAAAAAGGATACGAATGAGGATGACAGAGATAAAGGCTGGGCGTGGGTAGTTGCTTTTGCATGTTTCGTATCTACATTTACTACTTTTGGATTCGGTAGAACGAAAGGTATATATTACGATGCCTTCAAGAAGCTGAATTATACCAGCAAAGAAGCTGCCTGGCCTTTCACTTTAATGTCAATAATGATGCAATTATCAGGTAATATCTCGTACATATTAACTTAAATTACTAATATGAGTTTAGTACATGCAACCCCCGTATAACACAGTAGTTACGTTCCAAAAAATTGCCGTGTTATGCGAATCCGTGTTGTACGAAACAAAGAACTAGTACGAAAAGGAGGGTTAGGTTCCAAAAATTAAAAACATGCTATTATATTTTCATAATTAAGATAAATATCTTTATTAAAAATTTTCTTAAGTAATACATATTGATATAAATTAAACAATGTTTTCTTCATCATCACTAAAAGCACTATTAACCGAGAGCGTTTTCTTTTTGGTAAGTTATCCTTATCCTCTGAGTATTTTTCTGCATTATCTTCAGATCCATGCTTTACCTTTTGTAAAAGGAATGTAATTTTAGATTGCTTGCTTTTAGTTAAAAGATCTTTATAAATTTCCTTATATGGTGCTAAGCACTTATGAAGGATAAAGCAAGTACGGAATAAGGGAAAAACATCTGGCAACATCACAAGCAGAAGCGTCGCGATCTGGCAACACTGAAACAAGTTTCGAGAAGGACCATGTGTATCGACAGAAGGAAAAGAAAATTTACATACTTAAGTACTAATAATTCACGAAAATAATAATTTTCATGAACCATTATTACTTAAGTATGTAAAAATTTATTACATTTCATGTTGTATGAGAGTTCTACCCAATTCTCGAACCCTGTCAGAGTGAATCCGTGCTATAACAGTACTGTGCTATACGGGGATGATACCAATTCTTGAACTATGTTAGAGTGAATCCATGCTACAGAACTGTCGTGTTATACGGGGGTTACCTGTAGTTAAAATCGGTTAGCAAATACAGAACAAGTTTTATGATAATTGTATTGAAGCTTCAGACGATAATGATGATAAAATTAAAGCAACATAAAAAACTGTTAATTTAAAATTACTTGAAAAATAAATAATTATTTTTAATGTGAATCATAATTCATCTAAATTTACATAATTTCATAATTCTTATTTTACATATACTATATTGCTGTTCTTGTTTTTGAATGAAATTCAATTTTATAAATATAATTAATGTAAAAATAAAGGTTAATAGAAAATCTTAAAACTTTCATTTAAAATAAAAATATTAAGAACAGAATACACACAAAATAAAATAAATTTTATAATATTCTCTTAAAGATAAAAAAATAGTTATTATAATTTTGATCTCAATAATGTTTTCTAATTAATAATATAAAAATAGTTTTCTATTATTATTGATTATAAATTTCAGAATTATAATTCATTATGTAAAAATTGTATAAACATATTTTCATTTATACTGAAAAGTACTTAGTTGAACACTTAATACTGTTTCAAAAAACTTTTAAGAAAATCTAATCTATACTTCTCATACTATATAATGAAATATTATATTTGATTATTATCTATATATATAAAATTGCTTGTCCTGACTGACTCATTCACTCACTGATTCATCATCGCCCAGAGCAAACCACTGAACCTAAAGAGGTGAAATTTGGTACACAGTTAGGGTACGTCATGAAAATGTTCACTAAGAAGGGATTTTTCGAAATTCCCCCGTGGGGGGGGAGAGGGAGAGCATTAAGTCTTAACCGGAAAAACGGCTTCTACTGTACTATTTTAGATGCAATTTTTTGTTACGTTTAGTCTTCATTAAGTACTTAAGTGTATTAAATTAATAACATTTCAGACATTGTTATAAATATTTTTATATATTTTAACCAAATGTTCGAACCTTTTTAAATTTGAATTTGTTATTGCATATTGGTTTGATTATAGAACGATCGTAAATGTTCCAGAAAATTGGTCAAATTGAAAATTGTTTGTTTGATTCTCAGCAATTCTTATCATTCTCGGCGGTTGGTGTTATATAACAATTACTATGATTGTTGAAATACTGAATATAAATGGGATTTGCTTGCAAAATCTCCGCGGGCAAAGTCGCGGGTAGCAGCTAGTTAATTATAAATTTCTCACACCTTTTGCTGTGGTGGACTAACATTTTCTGCACTGCTCGCTCTTTGGATGGGCGACGAATTAAACGAAGGAGAAAAGTTATTTATATTATAAATAGGACTAGATGATGTCGAATATTGAGATAAATTTCCCTCCTTCCAAGAGTTAATTGATGCAATATCGGAATTAGGTGACGAAGAAGCAATGGGAGTTGGAAGAGGTCGCGGCACTGGAGGTGGTTTTTCGGCCAGTCTTTGTTCTGATTGATTTTTCTGAAATATTCAAAATTAAGTGAATTAATGGTTTTTAATTTCAAAAAATTATGAGCAAATTTGCCCATCAAGAATGACAGATCATATCACATTTAGTAAAGTGAAATTAACGAAATAACTACCAAGTACAATATTTTATTAAAGAAAATATTTAGTGTACATCACAAAACTTATTTAAAATCATTTTTAGTAAATGTAACACTTTTATCATCATTATGTATAAATTATTTTTTTGAAAATTAAAATTGCATTGATTTCAGCCAATAATAAAGTTATCCTGATTAGTTATGTTAATAACTTGTCTAGAATCCTTTGCGGTTGTTCCAGGCCAGTAACTTAACAAAGAAAGTAATAACTTATTAACCTTGAATTTAAAGTAGATATTTAACAAATTAAATCATTAATATATCCTGTAGCATGTGTATCACCACATGCTCTGATAGACTGTTGTGACTTCCAATGTTTTATTCAATAGTTACTCAAACTTAACCTGTGATCACATGCAATAGCAGCAATTTACCACATTTACTAATTTTACATGGCATTTTTCACCAAATTGTCTTCCTTATGCTACATGCTATCCATCTGTGTAAAAGTTTCAAAGCCAAATTTTTTTTTTTTTTGCTTATCACAGGCCCTGAAAACACTGCTTGGAACATTTCCACCTTGTACACATAATCATATACAATTTTTTCACATGATTATATGCATACACAGTGATTTTCTGCTCTGACATCATGACATCATCAAAAATGATGTCATGGAAAACTTCATGATTGCCACAAGAGATATCTTGACATCATAGATGTTTATCAGTTATGCATAATGTAATGACAGGGTGGTCTGTAAGTCACTACAACTTAGAATGCTTGTCTTTATAAGACAGCCTCAGACATCATGACTTTCAACAATTTAAATGTTTCCACAGCTTTATTTCATGCCTGAGAAACAGGAAAAATCATCTTCTGATCCTTCTGAGAAAAATCTTAGTCATCATCATTTATTTTCAGCCGAACTTGTTTCATATTAGCCCATTTATCACAAAGTTTGAAGACCTCCCTATAGAAGTCTGATTAAGGACATTGAGAATTAATTAATGACATTGGAATTTGTCATGTGAAGAGAAAACACATTAGTTTTTTCAGAATTATCAAATTTAAGGAATGGAAATTATATGCAGCATAATTACACATAAAAATCAGCAGAAAATTGAAAATTATGCAAGTACATGTTAAAATAATTTTAATAAATTTATTATAAGTTTTACTTTACTGAACATCACACAACATGTATCCTTAAGCAAGATATTTTAAAGATGTTAAAATATCTTGCTTAAGGATATCATCAAAGTGAAGAACATAACAGAAATATTCAAACAACAATAATGTAAATCTTTAAAAACACATATATAACTTCAAATACATTTGTAATGTTTATTTTTTATTAAATATACATGTTAATAAAATTAACATAGAACACTAAAGATTCTAATAATACATCATGTGACAGACTACTAGTCATGTGACCAATCAAAACTTGATAAAATTATTGAAAATTTGATCACATCCAAAATATATTCAAATTTTTATAGTTTTCTGCACATCTAGAGATCACAAGGTTTAATTTGAGATTTCAATTGATGAATTTGATCAATTGGAAAAATGTGAACTAAGTGACTCATTCATATTTAAATTTTTAGGTATATTTATTTAACTAATGTTTCAATTTAATCTCCAAAACGTAAAAATCACTGTTGTTTTAAACTTAATGTCATTTAATATTACTTTAAATTTGCTGTTGTTTTAATTCAAAAAAGTNATAATGATTTATCTATAAAAGAATGGTGATGAAATGATGATGATAAATCCAAAGGATATGAAATCATGCATTGAAGAAAGCAAAAGGTGCAAATAGAAAAAGACCCTTCACCTAGCTCAGGTGCACTGGAACTGTGCTTTCCCTTTCTTAATTTAAAAAATCCTTTACCAAAGGAAGCACCTGATCCCTTGTTTCGGAAATGACGATAATTCTCAAGCCCCTGATGAAGATTTTGTACTGACTGCGATTGGGGCTGACCTTGCAATGCTTGATGTTCTAATAATGATGTTCCATTATTACAAGATGCATTTTCTATTTGATTTTGGATCTGCTGCATTAACTGTGTTCCATGCTGTCTAGGTATAGTAACATAGTTCCTTTTTGCGGGAGGAGTCTAAAAACAGAACAGAATATAATTAATTTTGAAACAATTAAGAACAAATCAAGAAAATAATTTTAAATATTGTTTAATTTTAAAATATTTAAATAAAATACTTGAAAATGCACTTGCAAACAAAGTGATAATTTTAGATTTCCATAAAACGTCAGGGATATTCGCTTCCAGACAGTAATATATTTAATTACATTATGTTATTCTAAAATGTTTAACTGTTGAAGTTATTGACAAATGGTGATGTGTTTTCCTATAGTGTCAAATAGTATTAATATTTAAATAAATTAGTACCAAAATATCAAATATAACATAAAATGAAAAAACAAATTATAGATGTACTTCTACTTTTAGCATTTCAGTTATCAAGCATGAACTGTGAACAAATTTATAATTTATATTATGTAAATTAAAATATTTCAGTTATATTTACCTTATTGCTATCAATACAAGGATTAGATATAAGTGAATCATCTGAAGGTATTCTTTCTCGTAACTGTCCACTTCTGTATGGAGTAAATTCTAACAAATAAATTAAGCCAAATTTATTATAATTTCTAGTCACATACACAGATTATAATTTTAAAACAAGTTAACAATATCAATTTTGTATCTGAAATTACTGATTATTCTTAAATTTATGTAAAGTACAGAAAGCACTACTTTATCAAAGAACTTACATCTCTAAAACAACAAGACCTGAATACTTTCAAGTTGCTTGGCTCATCGTTAGCAGTACCCAATACTAAATATCATGTAAAAAACCAAAGTTTGAAACTACAAAATCTTAAAATTTAAAAAGTATTCAAGCTTCCATTAAGACTTAGAAATTCAATCGAAGTATAAAGTGTTTCAAATTTTAAGCTTTCGGATTTTCAAATTTTCATTTTTATATACATAAATAAATATGTAATATATGTAATATAGTACATGATATATATATCATGTACTATATTACAATAGTACATGATATATGAATACTCTAAATCAGTGGTTCCCAACCTTTTTTCATTTGCGTACCCCGTGACATGTCATATCTCTAGATTGTACCCCTCATTTAAGAAATTTTGTGAGTAACTGTATTGTTAATTTTACATATTGTAACTTTAAATTAAAGAAAAAAAAAACTAAAAGAAAAAATGTATAATAAAGTTGTGATTGTTGCAAGGAATATTTTTTATCTAATAATTTTTTAATACTATTAGTTTGTGATACATAATATATTATTTTTTCTGCCATAATAACTAACTTTTTTCTGTACCCCTAAACAACCTATCGCGTACCCCTAGGGGTACGCGTACCACAGGTTGGGAATCGCTGCTCTAAATAATGAGCAGGAACTCAAATATTCAAATATTTATATCTTATGATTTTTCTAGAGATGTAAGTTCTCCAGTAAAACAATATTTTGTGCATTGTAATTGTAATACTTGGAGATAGTAAATGAAAAACTTAAAATCAAAACTGCATTTTAAAAAAATAAGTTTTATAGAAATATCAGTATTTTTAAGAAATTTATTGAATCTGCTTTATAGTTTTTATTAAAAATATGACTAGTAGCATTGTCAAAGAAAAATAACATAGTGCACAAGATTGAGATTAATAGTTTCACAACATCTTTCTTTCTTTTTTCTGACAATTTCTTTAATGAAAATAACGACCTCCAAATACAGTTGAGAAATGGTTGTATAACTAACTACAAAGGTGTACCATAAAACTAATCTACAATCTTTCTTTATCCCTTCAACATCTAACAACTCGTATACGGTAAAACCTGTCTATGGTGACCACCCACGGTTCCTTCAAAAAGTGGTCTTTTAGACAGGTGGTCGTCCAATACAGGTGGTGCTGTAATACCGTATTTTCATATGTATTTTGCTCACTTTTTAGCCATTTCTACTAAGGAAAACTCCAGGTGAGTAAAAATAAGTGAATTTTTTCAACGATAGAGCTATATTGGTATTGTATTTTATTCTTATTGGATAACTCAATTTACAGGCATTTGTTGTGATTTTATAAGACAAATTTAATACCAATATTTTAAAGATTAATACAGTACTCGCATTTTCTCGATTATAATGCACACTTTCTTTTTTCTGACTTAATTCAACTTGGTTGTTTTCGTTCGCTCCTCAGTTACATGTATTACCTCATTGATATACAAGTGCGTCATATCTCTACATCAAACAAAAACCAAAGTTTTGGTTTTCGTTAGTTTAATCTTATTTTAACTTTAAAAATACTGTATTTTTTAATATTTAATATTTTCTTAAGTACAATAAAAAAATTATTATTTAATAATAAAATGATTTTATTATCATGTCTCATACGATTTCATTATATTCCGCGATTGTCATTGCGGAATCGAAAAAGGAAGGTTGCATGTAAAACTGATTTTTGCATTAATGCGTTTATTGTTTTTTGAATATTTTGTGTGCAGAAATTACTTGGATATTATTTTTCTAAAAATATCGTGGAAATAAGGTAGGTTAATACAGAAACTATTTATCGCACATGTACTGTATATGAGCTTCAAAATAAATAAATAAATAAAAATAAATTTTATCAAACGATGAGATCAGCTGATTAATTGTATCGTATATAATATTTTATACCCCCAAGGAAAATACTGTAGGTCTACGGTAAAATAAATTTAGTTTTCTCACAGTTAAACTTCTCCGCTAATTGTTGTGATAACTTTAATACGATCTTCACTTTGCATTTTGGACAATTTCGAACAAACTGAAATGAATTTCCTTTGTTGCTAGACTAATTCATTAACACCTGCATCTAATTTCAAGGGTGGGAAAAGTGCCAGAATTGGGTTCAAACGAGAGTTTAGACTGATTCATTATATTAGGAAGGGGGAAGATAATTAGGATATTAGAAGGATATTAGAATAATTATATAAATATTGTTCAACAATGTTAAATATTGTTGAACAATAGTTTAGACCAGATATATTCGTGGAAGTGGTCGCTTATTACAGTTGTTGTATGTTGTTTCGGACCAAAAATCAATGCCCATGGTCGCGTTACACAGGTGGTCGTGTAATACAGGTAACTTATATGACGACTCTGGCTAAACTATTTGATGCCAGAAATTTTTGCCTGTTTTGACAGGTGCCCATCGAATGCAGGTGGTCGCCTAAGCAGTTTTCACTGTACTTATAAAATAGCAGTGTTATGCTATTTTATAAAGGCTCTGCTTCAAAGAGCTTTTACTCATTGCTCTAACATCAGGGATGAACTACAAGAAATAGAATGCATTAAATACATCGGCATAGCCCACAGTTACAGCAGTAAGTTAATAGAAAGGCTAGCTCACAAGATACAGGGCAACATAGAAATGGGAGCAGTAAATACAAAATTTCTAAAATAACAAAGAAAATGCATAGTGGTTGACTTTGACCCTAGATTGTGCCAAACTTATAAAATCATAGTCAAGAAGGTCAAGGCAGATTTAGCATACAAGCATAACCCATCAAAATATAAACTTCTTACCAATGCCAAAAATAAAGGCAACAAAGCCAGAAAACCTGGAATATACTCAGTATCACTAGACGACAATAGACAGGAAGTTAACATACATAGGCTCAACAAACAGATCGTTAACAAAAAGAATTTTAAAACAAATTTATAAATGTGTCTTTATAAATTTTGTTTTAAATGATGTTTATTATTTTTTATTTTGCACTAAACTTATTAATTTTAACATATAATTTTATTTTTGTTTATTTCTGTATTTATTTATTTACTTATTCTATTCAAATCTTCTGTAAAACCATGACATCACAAGATCTTGATGTTTTAAATTTATGTTCTGATTTAAATTATAACTGATGTTCTATTTTTGTTTAACCTGAAGAAAACCATTTAAAATAGCTGAAAACATTAGTTACATTAAAGAAATTACTAGAAAAAAAGAAAGATGCTGTGAAACTTATTATAGAAAGTTCCAGTTTACTGTGCATAGAATTGAGACTAATAATTTTGAAAGAGTACACAGTAATGCAACTTTGTGCCAATAGTCATGCCTACCAAGTGGTATTTACATCCACTTAGTGATTTCCAAAATGGCATTGCCTATATCATTGCCTATACAAAATTGTACCAGAATTGAACAGTGAATTATTATTTGACTTTTGACAGCCAAAGGCATTAGACCTAGTGAGATCCATCTCAGGTTGAACAATATGAAAAGTCGTGCATGTAACTATAAAAGTTTGGTTCAAAAGTCTGAGGCTCATTGTCTATTTGCTTGGCCTTCCTTGAACTTTTGAACTCATTTGCATGACTTTCCATATTGTGTATATCTCCTGCAATGGATCTCACTGACTTGAAAGCATAATGCCTTTGGCAGTCAAAAACTGAGGACAGTTTGCTATTCAATTCCAGTACAATTATTCATACTGGAAATGCCATTTTGTAAACTATTTAAAGAACACAAAAGACACCTGGCTAGAATGACTATTGGCACAAGGCTGCATTACTGTATACTCTTTCATTATTATTAATCTCAACCATGCATGATATGTTATTTTCTTTAACAGTACTATTAACCTTATTTACTGAATCTTCTTCATATTAGTATTTTAAGACTCCACATTTTTGTCTTGTAGTAAAGTAACATATTTTACTTCATTTATTCATTTTCAAATTTCATATTGCTTGAATTTATTTCTGTATTTCAAAACAGTTATTTTTGTATTCTGAATATTGAGAATTGTTTAAGTTGTTAACAATTTTTCTCTCATCCATCAATCAATATACTATATAAGTTTCAGTAAATAATTTCAAGAGATTAAATAGTAACTATACAGGCATATTTGCATTGCTGTTACAATTTTTAGACAAATCACACACCTTTCAATTTTTTAATTTCATAATTAAAAAAATATGTTAAACCCTACCAGATTCCAATAACATTACATTACAAATTAATAATACCAAAATATATAAAAGAAAACACTTTTAAAATGGAAATACAAAACATCTACAATAGAATGTCAAAAATTAATGATAGAAACCTAGTAATAAAGGACACCTTTAAAAAATATATATTGAATAATTACTCAGAAAAAGTTTTACAAAAGTAAATACAAGAATTACTAATAGGCAGAAAAACAAATAATATAAATATTACTAACATAAAATATAAAAAAATCAATTTATACGTGGTCTGTTCAAAAAGTATCGGACCTTTGGTCGGCAAAAATAAATTTATTGACTTTGAGGTACAAAACCTTAATCCCCTTCAAAGTAGTCTCCTTGGTAATGTATACACTTTTCCCAGCGTTCCTGCCATTGCTGGAAACACTGCTGGAATGCATCTTTTGGAATGGCCATTAGCCGGTCCGTCGGATTCTGCACAATGTCTTCTCTCGACTAAATTCAGGTTCCTTTTAGCGGCATTTTCAGCTTGGGAAATAGTCAAAGGTCACATGGAGCCATGTGGGGAGAGTACGGAGCGTGACGAACCACAGGAGTATTGTGTTTGGCGACGAAAGCCCGAATCAGATGCGCAGAATGGGCAGATGCGTTATCACGATGGAACTGCCAAGTTTTGATCGATCACAGATTTGGTCGTTTGCGTCGCACTGTATTGGAAAGACGACGAAGGACCTCCTGGTAGTACTCCTTTGCGATGGCTTGGCCTTGTGGTGCGTACTCACGACACACCACCCCACGAGAGTCGAAAAAACTGTCAACATGACCTTTGATATTGCTGCGGACCTGCTGCGCTTTTTTTGGCCTCAAGGATCGTCCCCGAAAGCCTGCTGAATCTTGCGAATGGTTTACGCTTGGATATCGCCAAGGTTTTTGGCAAAATTTGATGTAATATCGCTGCTCACGTTGTTCAGTCATTTTCCAGCTTAGTGGAATCCGACGAGAGCACACTACATGACCTCACTCATAGGCCAATTGCCAACGACTGACGCTTCCTGCAGGCGGGAAAAAATTCAGGGCTGTGCATGACTGTCCCCTCCACAACTCCACCGAAGGAGGCCTCTCGCGCATCATTGGTTTACGCGGAAAAAAAAAGTCCGATACTTTTTGAACAGACCACGTATACAATCTTTCAGAAGATTAAAAATATATTAAGACCGTACAACATAGTCATAGTACCAGAACCATCAAAATACTTTAACAAAACACATTAATAATAATTGTAAATTAAAAGTAATAAAACTGTCATTCAGAATATAGTAGATAAAGGTGTAAGCATATAAATTTGAAAGTAGTTGCATAAACCCAAAAACATATCTTATACAGGTGACCAACCTATGCAGATGGTCACCTGTGTAAGATATGTTTGATAATATGTGTAAGATGACCTCTTTCAGCTCCTTTCACTGGTTACATTAGCAGTTTTCACTATATAGGTGAAACAAGTCAAAAATTAAAATTAAAAATTAACAAACAAATATGTGCTATCAAATATATTTATAATAATTCTATATAAAATAAACTTTCCAAAGCCTGACACATTACTACTCAACCAAACGACTGCCATAATTAACCAGGCTATAAATTTGCTATTATTAATGATTAGACATTAAGTAATTTGATATTAGAGGTAGACGTTAGGCACCATCTCTTATCTAAATTAATAATTATAATTTTTAATCATTTATTAAATAATTTAGAACCATCTGGAAGAAAAGAACTAGCCTGGAGCAAGACTTGAACCCACAACCTCCACCTACAGTGCAGTGAGCTTGCCATTTATGCCACCTAGACCTCCAAGCAATTGTTCACTTCCAAATGTAAATTATGCAACCATTTACAATTATCAGAAAAACGTTAAAATGTGTTTTAAAATGTTTTACTTACATTTTTACTATATACACTAAATTTCATAACAAAAATAGTCAAAATTATCCTTGTGCTTCTAATGGGTTAACCTAGCCATTTGCCATCTGCAAAATCTATGTATATCAAATCCTGTATAAAACATGACCCTATTGTATTTTTAACACATCTGAAAGAAGATATTAACAAAAATGTACACTAAACAAGTTTCTCATAATATCAGATTATTTTGTGGCATATGATCTGATGATACCTCTTAAGTCAAAAGCATTTGTTAGATTTATAATTTCATGAAATAATTAAACAATTCATAAAATTAATAGTAGATTGCATTGCACTGTGTATATTAGCTGTGTAAAAGTAATTAGTATTACCTTTCTTTCCTTGGCTCTGATAAAGTTCTTTCCTATCTTGCATTCTTTTGTACATGTTTAAAGTTGATCTTAACTCTTCTATTTTTTTTTCCTAAAATAATCATTGATTGATTATATTGATCAGTACATATTAATGTTAATTTTAATAAACAGACAACTTTAATTTTATTTAGTATCCAAATCACTTATTTAATCAAACCAGTGTAAATCATTTAGCAGAAATTATATTTAAAGAGAAACAAAACATAAACTGTTGATACATGTTCAATCAATCAGAATGTTGAACTTAATTAAAAATGATTATCTGTAATTTGATACACACTATATTTTAATCCTGATGATACATGATAAAATAATTAATGATCATATGAATTCACAACATAGTTATAATTTAATAAAAACCATGGGGAAATTATTTATATTTTGATGATCCAACTACACAACTTTCATACAAATGATAAGCTTATAAAAATATNTAATAAATAAAATACAGAACCAGAATTGGCAATTTATGGTTTAGCCTAGTGACAAGTAGATTTGTAGACAAGTAAATTCGACTTACGTCGTTTTTCAACTTAAGTCATTCTCCTGGAACCAATTACCGATGTAAGGCAAGGTATACCTGTATTCAATACTGTAATATCATTTTATATCACTATATTACTTAATATTATAAAAAAAAAAACTATTTACTTGACGAAGCATCTCTTCCATATTGTCAACATGCTCCTTTTTTTCTTCCACTATCTTTTCTAAATCTTGGATTTTATCATTTTGTGCATCAATTTGTTCACTTAAAATGTTTACCTGAAATAATCATGATTATAACCATATTCAAAATCATATATATTAATCAACAGATAAATTATAAAAATCAATTATTATGATGAATATACATTATAGAAGAAATCATGCTGCACAGCACCAAAATTGCCACTTGGTGATATTTTTTTATTAAGGTGGCGATAAAAATATAATACTGATGATAAAACCCTAATCTGCTTATTTCAATGTTCAGCATGAAACTGAATCACAAAGCTTACTTCAGGAAAAGCAGCTGAAATTTGAGCTCCTGTGCACCACACCCCTAGTGATGCCATGAGGCAATTTTGGACAGGAAAATAGGAAGTGATGTTGAGAACCAAGGGCAGTGTTCATGCAATGCCACCCAGCATTTCCATATTGAGGATTTTCTGTTAACCAACCGAAAATTTGAGGAATTTTTTGTAGTGACATTTTTTTTCACTTTGGTCTTTTTTCAGTTGACTATAGCATAAAAATTTTGACATGACAGAACTTGTGAAATATTGGTTAATCATTATGATCAAATGTATTATTTGAAATTATTCATTAAAAAGTTGTTCAAAAATGGTTCCTATTTCTAAGTGACAGTTTAACACATTATTCTTGCTTTCCAGACTACAAACTGATAAGGCTACTAGCACCTGCATTAATTAGTAAGTAAAATTGGTAATGATAAATTATTTGAAGTGGCAAAAAAAATTTGAAACTGGTGAAATAGTTGGCAATTTTTCTTTAATTTTCCAGACCGACCCATTACAGTAAATTCTAATACTGTAAGTTTAAATTAAAAACAATCATTGAAGGACATTAAAAATTATTATTAATATAAACAAAGATTATTTCAGATTAAGATATTTATTATTGACATTAACATCCAATCTTAATTATTTGAAATTTTCATTATCAGATTAAGATATTTATTATTGACATTAACATCCAATCTTAATTATTTGAAATTTTCATTATCAGATTAAGATATTTATTATTGACATTAACATCCAATCTTAATTATTTGAAAAAGATTATTTCAGATTAAGATATTTATTATTGACATTAACATCCAATCTTAATTATTTGAAATTTTCATTATCAGATTAAGATATTTATTATTGACATTAACATCCAATCTTAATTATTTGAAATTTTCATTATCATCATCCAAAATTTAGACATTTTACTTTCCCAGCTGTTATGGGAAAGTATAGAAATTGTGTCATATTTGACCTTCCAGGTATTTTGCAAATCTCAATATTTTGAGATTTGCAAAATACCTGGAACCCAAAAGATTCAAAAAACAGGGAAAAAATGCATGTATGAGTTTGTGTTTGTGTTAACATCTATTCCATTTAATATCTCAAAATGGGGTAAAGATTAAAAAATAAAATTTGGCACAGTAATTTGTATATAAGGGCCATTGATGCTATTAAATTTTAGTTGTTTAAGGTCAAGGGGGTATGGAGATAGAGGAGAATCACCTCTACCTTCAAAATTAAGTATTTTTATAATAATTAATAATATACAATAAAATTTTATTAAAAAATAACTAACAGATGGCACCACACAGATTTTTGTTTTAAATGTAAACTATGGTATATTGTACTTAAGAAGTCATTACAACATTTACTTTAATATTTTCAAAATAAAATTATTATGAATATTAAAGATTCAATTGAATGTTATAACAACTTCTTAAGGACAAAGTCATCATTTTTAATCTTTTAAATTATTATTATGATAAGTTTAGATCAAAAATCAAGTATAAAAATGTGAACAACCATTATAAATAATTAAATATCATCTACAAGTAGACTGATAACTAACTTGTATTGTGTCTTGTAAAATATGTGAAACAGTATTAAATAAAAATTTAGTAAATAACATAAATGTTCCTTTATTAATTTCAGGCATGGTATTATGACTGAAATTTTTTCTGCAGATTTACATTTCTGTTTAGTGATTCTTTCAATGATTAAAAAAAATACATGTATAATTTGTTATATTTTTCAATCAGCTACATATTTTTTAAGAAATATATAATTATCACGAATATACAAAAAAAACTTTCTTGCTTTCATTTTTCTTTTCCATTATTCACACCAGTGACAGTCCAAAACAAGAATTCTCACACTTAGAGATGACCTTTTCTTTGAGGCTCTGTCTCCATAATAGAATGCAAATGGAAATAGCATCTTCTGGTAATTTTGTAGGTACTTTAAATTTCATCCATATGGAAAATTCAAAGGAAAATGGCAAACATTCTTTAGCATAAAGATAATACAGAAGGAAATTGTCAGAATATAATTTGCAAAATATCCTTCAAAACTTGTTTACAAATACAAAATTATTACAAACATACAAAAAAAGCAAGAAATTTTTTCTTTGTATATTCATGATAATTTTATACCGTCGACTCCCCTATAACGGAAATTCCTATAACGTAGTAAAAAAATTGTGGCAGTATTCGTATAAAGGGACTCGTAAAACGTTGTCACCGACTCGTGTCACAACAAGATTGGTCGAATCTGGACCAATAGTGGACGAGCAGCCAGAACTACTTTCCGCCGTCCAGCACCACGCTACGGAGAGTTTAGGCGAGTAAGTTGAGTTTACTATCGTCTGTACAGTATGTAAATTAGGTACCATAAGTCTAATACAGCACTAATTTTATACATTTCTTGTGAAAGAAACATTTCTTATTCAATGGCCATAAAAATTATTTCTATTAATAAAATCTCCAAAGGTCAACAAATTTTTCGCAAAAAAATAATTTATCAGAAAACGCGGCCGCCGTTTGGTGCGCTGCTCTGTGACGAAAACAAGCATAAGCAATGGTGTAGTCGAACAGTGCACACTCGGTAAGTAATCCTACAATTTTTTGTTTATAGCATAGTTTATACGGATTATTCCCAAAAAATTATACGTGTTTTGGAAATGTTGAGTCAAATTAGTCTAGAATCGGTTAATTTTATAGAAGAAAACCTTTCAAACAGCCTTAGTCCATAAACTTCACACGTGTCGGGCTGTGATTGGCTCATGTATTTNTCTTTTCAGTTTTTCTATTTCAGATCCTAAAAATAAAAAAGAAATTATTTATGAATATTTAGATGAAAAATTAATTTAAAAAATATAAAGCATAAAATTATTCATTGGCATACATATTTTATTCAAGTTTCTAGCAATTACAATCCCAAATTGAATTTTTCATGTTCAAATGGTGCATGGTTTGATTATTGGACATTAGACAAGAGATGTGATAGTTAATGTGCCATATGTCAGCTTGCTATGTGCATTGGAAATAATGCTACGCAAGTTTTTTAAACATGTCCAATATTGTGTCTGCAATTTATGCCATGAGATATGTTTGTAAGCATATGTGCATTAAATTCTGTGTTAAGATGGGAAAAATGGCTACAGAAACCTAAAAAATTGTAAAGATAAAAGTTTGGGAACAAGTGATAGTTTTCAGTGAACAGACTGAATAGTTTCTGATTTAAAGAAAGTAGAATGTCAATTCATGACATCATGCATTTTGACCAATCAACATCAAGTTCAATGACAAAAATTGCATTAAACTTGATATTTAAACCAATTAATGTACAATTACATAAAATTTTGTCCCCAAGACAAAAGATATGTTCTATAAGCCTCATATTTGCTGATTTAAAATCTATAATGGAATTATTTCAGTAGACATTCAAGATACATATTGTAACTTTAATTATCCTGATAACAGGAAAATGTGACTTAGTGATATTTTTTAAACTGGACCCTTTGTATGGTAAAAGAATGTACAAAAATTTTCTATGTCATAATGCCCATGACTTTGTAAAATCCATGTTCAAAATATCCTAAATTTTTTACATGATTATCTGGCAGCCATACTTGTAGCAAACAATAAGTTCTGATAATTGATACATATTGTACATATTAATAGCACTTAAGTTTTCAGTGAGTTTTCATATGGTATTTCTAGATCTGTGAATTGTTTGCAGAAATCATTATATATTTCTTTCATATAAAAAAACCTGACAAAGCAGTCTACATGAACAAATATCTAAGTAAATACTGTATAAACATAATTCATTGTAATGTACTAGGACATTGTTAAATAATATAGCTTTGTTTCAATAATTTATATTTATTGTAAAATTTCACAACAATAATTGAAGAAACACAGTCTTACAACGAATTTGATATTTTATTATAGACTCTTATCCACCTCAATAAGTAAAATATGTATAAAAAAAATTTTCCTAATGTGTACCAAAACATGAAGACTGTGTTTCTTCAATTATTTTTGTGAAATTTTAAAATATAATTGTCTTCTTGGTTTTTTTACTAGTTTTTATTAATATTCATATTTATGTTCACTTCTGCTTAAGAAGTTTAAATTGTCCCTTGAAAAAATTCTTAACTGAGTTCTACTATATATAAAATTTATGTATACTTTGTGGAGTGCTGTTGTCAGTGCTCACATTTAAACAGACCACATGCACACTTGAAAAATTGAAAGAATCATTCAAGTATGGGTAATAAAAGTGTGTTCTTTTTTTTATTGCTGCAATCTTGTTATCCTGTTACAACTATACCAGATTGAGTGAATGCAATTAAAAAACTAATTTGTAATCTGAGTGATATAATTAAAGAAATATAATAATAAAATTGAAATTTGATTCAACAAAATGCACTTCATTTAAAAAATTTTTCTAATATGGGAATAATTGTACATTTACTTCCGAAGACAGATTAATAATCTAATCATCTACATTTTCACATTTAAAAAAACATTGAAGAATAAAAAACTTTGAACTAATTTGGACATGGAATTATGTTTAATAAAATAAATATTATGCAATTTACTTACCATAGTCTGTTATGGGAGTTACAGTTCCATTTCGAACAGCCCTACTTTTTAAAGTAGCTAATTCTGCTTCTTTTTCAGCCAACCGGGCTTGGACAATAACAAGTTCACTCTAAAATATAAACAAATCAATGAAAATATAACATATGAAAAGCATGAAGACAAAATATTTCATCATCATTAATATTATAATTACAAGGATTGATCAAATGAAACTCATTTGAGTAAATTCATTAAGAGAAACAAAACAGTATATTTGTCAGTATGGCATAATCAAGCAAAGCAACATATGAGGAAGCTGGAATGCACTTTTGTTTGTTAAAAAATTCACCATAGGCATTCAGATGCATCCCACTGCTTGGGGAAATGATGAATACCAACCACAAAGCATGATGTTGGTTGGTCCTTGAATTATTGGGTGATTGCTTCCTTGACTTATGCATCAAAGTTAACACATTGCCCCTTAAGAGCTTGTTTTAAAGATCTGAACAAATGAGTCACATTATGACAGATGGGGGCTATAGCAATAGATGGTGCAAAACCTCCCAACCTTTTTGTGCTAAAGCATCCTGCACAGTGTTTGCAACATGTGGTCAAGCATTGTTGTGTAACAAAATTACACCATGCCTGGTTGCTTATTCTTTATGGTTTTATGCAACTTGTCCAATGTTGCATTGTAATGATTGGCATTAATGCTCACATGAGGGTCTTCAAAATCCACCAGTAAAGGCCTCGCAATGTCAAAAAATACAGTCATCACAACTTTACATATGGAGGCTTGTGATTTGAATTTTTTGTGTGTTAGTGAGCCAAGATGTTACCAATGCATGCTTGCTCATCTACTGGTTGGCTCAAAGTGGTGGCACCATGTTTCTGCCTTGGATGGATTCTGAATAAGTCTGGCCATGTTTTCACTACACTACACCAAAAAGAGAACATACAAGATGACTGATCTCCCTGCTTGCTCATTGGTGTGTGACATCATTCCCCTCCTTTTGTACCAGACCATGTGACATAGCACAAACAGGCTTTATTTGATCAATCCTAATACATAGTTTTATGAAAAGAAATACCATACAAAATATAATCTTTAAGGCTATAAAATCATATACATAAAACAAATAATTTTCTCTCATGCAATAGAATATTAAAAGATTTGATTGTTAAAAGTAGGAATAAACTTCAAAGAAATAATCTAAACTCACAAAGGCTTGCTCAACTTTCCTGGCACTTGAACAGAAGGTTAAGGGACCAGAATATAAGTCCAATACTTTTCAATTATAATACAAAACTTAAATGAGTTATTTTTGCTGAATTATAATAAATTTCTCTATTTCAAAATATATGACACTAGCTCAGTTGAAATTGTTTGTGGTGCTATCTGTTATGAGATTTTATTAAAAAATAATTTTTATATTGTTAATTATTACAAAAGGGAAAAGGCTTAATTTTGAAGAGAGATGAATTTTTTTAAATTGTAAATGCCAATAATGAGTAAAATTTTCATTAAATTTGGCCCACTTGAAAGTTAAGATATGACACCAACCCTTTATCTCCCCATCCCCTCATCCTTTAACCACCAAAATTTAATAGCATCAATACACCATATATAGAAATAATCTTGTCAACTTTCAAAATTTTTGGTTAGGCCAGTCCTGAGATATAATGAAAAATAGATGCAAACACACACACACAATTTAGTATTTTTTTTACTTTTAGGCTCCTTAAGTATCAAAATGTTGAGAAATACAAAAAATATCTGGGAAGATCAAAATTTGACCGATCACCATACTCTCACTGTGTTATATTCTTTAACAGCTGGGAAAGTAAAAATTAATTTTAAATACTTTCTATGCTTCTTTTAAAAAATTAGATTAGATAATCAATTAAACATTTGGTTCAAACACAACATTAGATAATTCAATGTAATTTATATACACAATTCAATATTCAGACTGGGGGAAAAAGCATTAGTCACAAAAATGTTCAAATAAATAAATGTGTGACTCATTTCACCATAAGTATTAGTTATTCAAATAAAACATTAATCATAATGATCAGTTTGTAACTAAGTGAATAAAAAAATGTTTAAACTGCAAATAAGTATATTTTTATACTACTAATGATATAACATCTATATAATTTTTTTAATTAACAGAATTCTTGAATTAAAATCATAAAAATTTTTTTATATAATTATAAAATCCTTTACTGCATGCAGAAATTTTTATTTTAAACAGCATTATAAATGGTAAATAGATGATTATAAATCTAATCATCTATTTTATCAACATATATTTTATTCTTTTACTAAAGGTTACAATTTTTTAGAAATGATTATTATTAACTACTAAATAATCATTTTTTGGGTCAAAAAACTGCATTGCTCAATAATTTCAATCATAAAATTAAACTCTACTTTATGAAATTGAATTGATATTATAATCATCTTAATTAAAAATACAATAATTTGAATTCAAACATCAGCCTCAATCTGTATATACATTGCAAGAGGGTTAAGTTATAACAATGAATAAGAAAAATTTCTTGTCAGATTTTGAATGGATATAAAAAATAAGGTGTACATTTCATCTCCTACTTTTTTGTAGTATTGTATAAAATAAATTACATTAAAAAAACAATTTACTGGTAAAAAAAATAGAGAGATGTTCACTCTGTCCCTTATGGATCAATGCCTGTGAATAAAAAATACAGTGAAATCGGTTAACGAACATAATCCATTCCAAGACTGCATTCACTATCCTAACCTATTATCAATTTACCATAGATTTTTATGAGAATTTGATTACAGTAGAGCATCGATTATCCAACTCAATTGGGGACTGGGGTTGGTCGGATAACTGAAAAGTTGGATAACCGAAAAGTATGAAAAAATCCATTATTAGTGTAGTATATTGTTATATCCCATGTAATTAGTATATAGTCTATTAACCTACTTCGCGTTGAATTTNCTCAGTTGAAATTGTTTGTGGTGCTATCTGTTATGAGATTTTATTAAAAAATAATTTTTATATTACTAATTATTATAAAAAGGTAAAAACTTTTTGGGGTAGGAGTTAGTTTTTAAAAAAATTGTAAATACTGGTAATGAGAAAAATTTTCATTAAGTTTGATTCTACTTGAGATATGACACAAGATCCCCTGTATCTCCCAATTAGTTGATATTCAATTACCAAAATTTAATAGCATTAATGCTCTATACGTAGAAATAACCCTGTCAAATTTGAAAATTTTTGGTTCATCCAGTCCCGAGATATAATGCAAACTAGATACTGACACACAATTTTATAGAGTTTATTTCTTTTAGATTTTTGGGTTCCTGAAGTATCAAAACATCAAGAAATGCAAAAACACCAAGAGTCAACATTTGACTAATTACCATAATTTTCCTATGTTATATTCTATACCAGCTGAGAAAGTAATACAATATATAACTAATTATCCATGGTAATGTAAATCAATGCTACCTCAGATAACAAAAAACAGAGAGCCACAATCATTTTAGATTAAAAATTACAAATATCAAAGGTTTATACGGTATATCACTTTTAAGCTTGTTTTCATACCATAATGAATTTAATATTACTTATATCGGACATGGACAAATGCGGCTCTTTTTGAGTTACATGCGGCTCTTGCTGAAAGTGTTAATTTCTGCTTTTTATTATTATTTTTACAATTTTATTTCCACAGTTTTGTGAAAATATGTTCATTAAAAAAATTCAATATTTGTTTTATATTATATAATAAAATCGTGGTACAGAACTGCAGTACAGAATAAAAAAGTACAGAACTCCCATGCATTTTGCAAAACCTACATTTCGGCTCTCACTGAACTCTTGCTTGCCCACCCCTATATTATACAGTTAACACTTAAGAATAAGAATGTTTATTATTATAGTTATATTTTAATATGTATGATTTTTCTCACATTAATGTTAAATAATAAAACATAACAAAAACAAATTATTTTGTAATGCATGTTATTGTTTTAAACTTTATTTTATGAATTACAATGTAAGAAGAAGGATGTGTTCACTGACAGATATGTATGTCTTGGATAATGGTTAATTGGGGTTTGAGTAATCAGGGTTCTACTATATTTGTTCAATATATATTTGAAGTTAATCTCAACAAAAAATTAATAAATATATACCTCCAATTTTTTATACTTTTCTTCAATATCTCGCCTTTCTTGTTCAGCAGTGGCAAGTCTTAAACGAAAAGTAGATACTTCACTCATTAGATCGAGCTTGCTATTTTCAATGTATGATCGAGACATGAGCTCCTGTAACATATTTATAAGTATCAATATTTGAAAAATAAAATAACTGAATAGTGACTAATTTCTATATTTTTAATATCAACAAACATAATTTAGCAAACAATTTTATTCATGCACTCTAAGCTGTTAAATGCAATATTTGATACTTAAGAAGGATCAGATCTTGATGAAAATGTTTCTTTTGTTTAATAAATGTTGCTTTCCAAAGAATTAATGACTTTTTTATTTATATACCTATTAAAATATTTAAATTTACAAATTTAATACACATTGTATAAAAATAAGGGATTTAAAAGATTTTTTGTTCTTCGATTTACGATGTACAAATCAAACTGTTTACTTTAGAAAACCAAAAATATTTATTTTGAAATATTATGATCTCACTTTGAGTTGTCTCCAGAATATATAAAAACTGAATGTGTTTTATTTTCTACTATAACATTTTAGTGGAATTTTAGAACAATGCCTGTATTCCAGTATGCGTAAGTCTCAGGTACATTTGTAAAGTCGAACAAGTTAAACACATTAGTAACGAATCATTCAAAAAGTAGCAGTCTCGCTCAGTGCGCATGCTCTGCAGTGATGACATTTCCGAATGAAACTCTAATGAAGTTCACAAAGGAGAGAGTTAGTTCACTTTGCTAAGAAAATGGCGTACGACAATATCAATGTTTCTAAATCTTCTCAAATGTTTAAACTATGAATTAAAAAGTGAAATGATAGAAATAACTGTCCACCTGAAGTAATCTAAGAAAAATATTTTGGATAAGGCTGCACTAGCAACATTTTAGAAACAGCCATTTAGTTATAAACAAATCGGTTGAAAAGTCTAATGAAATAAGAATAACAATGATGTCATTCTCATTTAACTCATTTGACTTTACAAACGTACCCTCAATTATAACCAATGCACCAGTGAATGGGTTAATAAGCTTTTATTGAAACATCTGGCACGCTAATAAAATGGAGGAAGCAAACAGCACTTTATTGGCATTTGCAAACTTATTTTGTCAAAGTAACTTTGGGTTAATACAGATAAGTAGTAAAAATACTGTTAATAATAAAACCATGGAAGCAGCCTTATTGCTATCAGAGATCACCATATCCACAGCCTGACAAGTTCATTATGCTGCACCAATAAACTTGTCGGCAAATATCAAAACAAATTTTAGTATGTCATGATTAGCTGATGCACTATTTGATACATAGTGGAATGTATTCAATGTTTTAATACACATTTACATTATATTTATTAATGTACAGTACATATTTTAACATATTAAAATGTATGTTAAAAGTTCAAAATTGCATACATTTCAAAATAAATATTTTTGTTTCCTAAAGGAAGTTTTATCTTATGATTTATCACTATTATGGTGTCAAGTTTTGTTTCATCATAGATATATAAGGTAAATAATGGAGTAATACATGTGATTAGAACTAGATACCAGGTATACCTCGACTTACGTCGTTTCGAGTTATGTCGTTCCCAATTATACGTCGTTTGTCAAAAAAGTATATGGAAAAATAAAAATCAAGTTTAAGTCATTTTATTTGACTTTACGTCTGTCCGCCACAAATATTGAAGTCGTAATATCACT